TCGTTGTCACAATTTTGTATTTAGGGGAAACACTGTGGTGGATAAACAGCAAAACTGATCATTTCCGACAATATATGTGAATATTAGATTAAAACTTTAGGGCATTTTTGGTATTTTGGGCAAAATTAATAGTTGAGAAACCGTGAACGGTAAAAATGATCGGCAAGACATGATCAACAAAAAATGAGATTTTAGTCATGATTTTTTTTCTAGTCTAAATGTTGCAAAGTTTATAAATTTGAAGATGTACATAGATCCAGATGAGTGACACACGCACTTTAGAGCCTCTAGTTGAAATAACTTGAGCGCCAATATACATGTATATATATATACATATTACATTTGATTTTTTTTTATTCAATTAAAACTGAATATTTAAAAGTAAAGACCTGACCTGTTTCCTTTATATATCTATAATTACTTAAAGTATGTTTTGAAAGGATAATATACACGGATGTTTATAAACCTAAGTTGAAATTCAATGTACGACAAACCTATTTCTCAAACAATGAAAAAAAAAAATATATTCTTCAGAAATTGCATCGTTATCTGATATAAGAAAAAAATGTTATTACATCATATTGACTTACATCCTGTTTGCTTGCATAGATATATTTTGTTTTAAACAAGGATACCTAAATCATAACTAATCACATAACACACCATTTATTACAATACACTTCTGATGTTTCATTAGAAGATAATATTATCTGTTATTAAAATAAATAAAAATCGCCCATACATCATTTTCTACATATATTAACAAAACTCTGTTTTGATCAGAATGCTGAGAGGATTAACAGAAATCACTGGGTGATATTTTCCGTTTTTCTTTGTCACGGTGTATATATAAATCATCTCATCATACATACCAATATTGAAATTTTGTACGCCAGACGTGTTTTCCTCTTCAGACTGAAATTAGTCATACTAGAACATAATTGAAAGGATTGATTAATATAGAGAGACAACAAACATATTCGCTTTAAGGAATACATATTTTGATTGTTAATAAGATGATGTAATATGAGTCCAAATGCAACAACTACCCGGTATTAAAAAAAAATATAACAAAAAAATCAAACTCTAAGGTAAATTGAAAGAGGGGACGTCCATAGAAACTGACAAAATCAAACGTTATCAACCAACGGAACTAGTGAAAAACAACAGTCATATTCCTGACTTGGTACAGGTGGATTTTGACAAAATGACTTGGCCACCCCGTAACACTTTCGCGTCAACCATCGCTCTTTAGTTATACCTTCGCACTTTAAAGTTGCATCACATTTTAAATTTTTACATATTTATATAGTTTTTGGAATTTAATTATATGTCAATTAAGAGACATGAGAAACTGCACATACAAATAGACTCTACAATCTTGTTCATTGTTGTAGACTAAATCTAACCGTTGGTTTTCTATTTTAAATATTTGTATTTTTTTCATAACTGGGCCTTTTATAGCATACTATACGATTTGGGGTTTTCCCTTGTTGCAGTCCGTACGATGACCTATAGTTTGTCACATCTTTTGCTGTTTTGTCTTTATGGATTCTTGTTTCATTGGCAATCATATATCATTTCCTTATTTTTAAATTGACGATATAGTTTTTGAAATAGCCAGGCTCTATATCACTATCTCATACTAATACATTAGACCCAAATCATATATAAATAAAGGTTTATAGAAAAATAAACATGATAAAAAATCACCGTTCAACAACATGTTTTTATTCTTAACTTCATTCAAAGAAAACGTTACATAGAATGTAATTGAGTAACCTTTATCAATAAAGTATACAAATGTTATGACTATCTTGATCATAAAGCAACTTAAAATCATTTGGAAAGTCAAACGTAGATTTTACTAAACTTTTCACTATAACCTCCTCTAATTAAAATATCACCTGCGTCTCAGATGACTCACTAGACTTTGTGTAGTACGAAGATTCATATCCTCTTTCCAGTACCTTGTTTGTTTTTTATAGTCAGATTTACGTTTGAATTGGATTAATGTTCTAAAAGTTCGTGATTTCGTGCCATTAAATTTGGTGTAATATCCCGTTTTCAAGGCAGTTTTTTGCAAAAATATCAGGGATGTCCGTGACCGATTTCCGTAAAGTTTCTTTAATAAGTTCAAAAATAGCAATGTCATTTCCAATTGTTCAATCCGTTGATATAATAAACGATTTTGACGAATAATATAAAAGACTGCCATCCCCTGCTATGCCAACGTCCTTTTATTAATTCTATAGATATTCTGAAAACTCATACCATTGAGACACGGAACTGCACATATAAATGTCAAATCCGAACTAATTTAGATACGATTCTTGTAAACCCATTGTCCTTTGAAAAGACTTATTCTTAAAGGATGTCAACTTAACACCGTAGAAAGATCTTTAAATAGTGTTTGTTTATGGACTAACATTACATTTCCTTTTAATAAATGAAAACATAACTTAAGGATGTTTGCTACTCTGTTTCAAAATAACAAGCTTTTTAAAAGACTGTTATAAATTGATAGTATATAAATAAAGGAACTAAAAAAGCAGAAAAAAATGAAGGGTCCGTGTGCTTGTTTTCGAGATATAAGCCATTGAAAATTTGGCGGGAAATAATTCTCTCTAGACTTTTCATACGTTTAACATTGGCACCCTTTTTCTTTAAAAATTTATGAAAAAATAACAAGGTAGCATTTTCAAATATGGCTATTTAAACTATATGTAATAAAATTATAAAAAGAAAAATAGGGGTAAGCGGGCCGAATTTTTATTGGCACTAACATGGATAAAACTAGAGGATTCCAAATATCTGACAAAAAGTCAAAAACAAGAGTAGCAAACATCCTTAATATGTATTGCTTTACATTATTGAAAACTCTTGGGCCACATCTGATCCATATATAATGTATTAATGTTTTGGCACTCATCAAGGTCATACCTTTCTCAAACTGTTTATAAAGTCTGTATCCTAAATCCGTTGGATTCGTACTGATTGATACTTTAGTGTAGGAGAACATGATTTATCCATTAATTGTAATTGCTTTGAACAAGATATCAATGACTGCGATAAGTCTTATTTCGGCACTTTGTGTTTTTGGTTTTTATGTTAGTTGTTTTCGTGCTTCGTGTCGATCTGATGGATTTTACCATTTCCGACTTATCTTTACATATAAAAAAGAAGATGTGGTATGATTGCAAATGAGACAACTCTCCACAAGAGACCAAATGACACAGAAATTAACAACTATAGGTCACCGTACGGCCTTCAACAATGAACAAAGCCCATACCGCACAGTCAGCTTTAAAAGGCCCCGAAATGACAATGTAAAACAAGTCAAACGAGAAAACTAACGGCCTAATTTATATAATTTACAGTTTGTTTTATGTTTTATGTTTAGATGTTACACCAGTGTCCCATGTAAAAGGGCTGGAGCGCTCACAAACATGTTTTACCTCGACATATTCTATATGTATCTGCCCAAGTCAGGAGCCTGTAATTCAGTGTTTGGCGTTGGTTGCTGTCATTCACATCTTAATTTCGTTAATTTGTTTGTCATAAATCAAACCGTAGATATTTTTGGTTAGTTTGAATTATGTCACATTTTGTTCATGTCGGGCCCTTTTATAGTTGATATATATTCTGTTCATTGTTGAAATCTTTAAGGTCCACAATAGTTGCTTAATTTCGCTACATTTAGACTATGTTGGATAGCTGTCTCATTGGCAATCATACCACATCTGCTTATTTCACAGCAGACATAAGGTGTTGAATTTCAATATTTAGATGTTAAAGTTAAAATCAGAAAAATCCGTATGATTCATAGTGCATCAGTTTACTTCGCTTTTGACATTTTTGTATGCACCCGCAAAGTATTCCACACAGTCGAATAATATAAGCAAATGGAATGATTTAAATAAATTTTCGAAAAAGTATACTACACATTTCAATCTGATCCCATAACCTTGATAAAAACCCGTAAGTTGATATTTTCATGAAGACAACTTTGTATTGATCCATCAACCGCATATATTTTTGACGTTATAATATGTGTGAATAATGAAACTGGGCACGAGAAAACAGATTTATTGTAACCAAAGTATTTGTATAAACTGCTAGAATCACATACGATTTCACTGAGCATCAAAAGCAAATTCACATATATTGTATAGTCAAAATCATTGAAGTTCAACTTTGTATGCAACTTAAGTTTTTATTGCATTACACAATTTATTTAAATTTAAAATATGTGATATAAAACTAACACTTGAACCACAAGTGTCTGCGTTTAAATTGTTGAACAACGGACACAGATGCAGGATTAGCGATACGATATTAGGAGAATTTGCATACAAATAAATAAAAATAATATCAACATTTAAATGCGATTTTTTAATAATTGCGAAACCTATCAGCTTGCAATTTTCGCAATAATGAAAACAATTCAACAATTTCTGAACTTACAATAAATCATCGCAATGTCGAAGCACTGACCTCTGTTAAAAATAGTATACCAGTATACAACTCAACGACAGCGACGAGGTTACTTATAATTATAAAACCGAATAATTATGATGGACGGCTTTGTCCCCAAAACATAATGTAACCCCCAAATTCCCCCATATAATGTTTCCTCAAGTCGGGAATCAAAAAGTCATTTAATTTTAATAGTTTGACATTTGTCATTTAAATATTGTCTAAACAATTAAGATGAATATTTTCCGATACAACAAATTAAACACGTTATAGGTTTAAAATTAAATTGTCATTCGAATTTTAATTGATGCAATAAAATGACACATGAGATAAAAAGATTTGCTCGATGATGATATCTATATGCATTAAAAGAAATAGTTTACCATGGAAAATCCTTATTTAGACCTCTTAACATTGTCACAATACTAATCATCTCTATTTCAAACCTGTTGATTCTTGTTTCTGTTATCATATAAAAGACTTATAATTTCCTATAAATGTATTTAAACATACTGCTTTACTACCATAACTGTTTATTAGTTATATACTCCAAATGGAGTTCCCAAATGAGAAGATAAGTTTCGAGATACGAAACTCGGCTGCATTTGATAACAGAGCATACAATGAAGAGTTTCCTCTGCCCCCTGGTATTTGTGGAAGACGATATCATTCCCATGGATATATCCAGCCTTATAATTGGATTGGAGAGAGCATATCTTCTAACCATGATTACTTGATAGTGCATGGGTCAATTAGAAGTAATTCGCAGGTTGAAATAGCAGATGAATTTCCCGAACACATCATGTACGATGGCGAAACGAGGCATCACTATAAAAACAAAAGGGAGTTTAATAATGATTTTGATGATATTCGCATATATTCAGAAATAGGAGATTTCACAAAGCTTAATACGACTGAGCAGTCAGACGTCAAAGGTTTTGATCAAAGAGAATATGTAAGTGATTACCAAAACATTAATATGTGCATCCGTTTAGCTAAACAACTCTGAAGCGCCAGTGGTGGCCATTCTCATCGCTATACGACAATAGCCTGTTGTCTGTTAATTTAAAAAAAAAAATCCCAATTATCCTTTTAGTTACAGTAGCGTCTAGTTTAAAAATAATGTGCGACGTACCTGATGGCCAAACTACATGGGCGTCATGGGTAAATACAACATAAGGCAAAATACAAGTATTGTATCATAACATAAAAACCTTTATAGATAGAAAACATTATATCCCATCGAAAATGTTACAAATGCAAAGATCTACCTAATGTCTATTTGGACTACAACTGCCTGTATTTCCACGCTTAAATTTCAAGTTAGGATTTATTGATCAGTATCGCAATGAATCATACCGAAGACAAAAAATAGATAATAAATATGTATTTTTGTTTAAAATTTCTGTATAAGCGTTCCTTTCATGACGTCAGAAAAAGCACACGTTTCTATTCGTCACGAAAATTTGATGAAAACAGATAGATTTCCATTGATGTTTTTGTCTGGAAACATTGAGCCCATGCGTCGACAACAAAAATCTTTTCCATAATGTTTTTTTTTTTTTTTTATAATATTTTAAATATCTGACTCATATTTAGTTAGTGGAAGCCTGCGCTCAATGTTCCCCTGGCTTTGATTTGGTTGAAATCAAGACGATTTTGTAAAATTTCACCGAAACCGTCTATTTGGGTTGTAAATGTTAACGCTTTATAAAAAACAATTTACACAACTTGTTCTATTTTGCTTTTTTGTTTCTTTTCGTCAATTTAAAACATATTTTATCTTCAAACAATGAACTAATTGTTTTTGGACAAATATGATCCTTGCTGAATTACTACTTTTAGTGCTTTTACCTAATATCTTATCTTTAAAAGATTCATTGAATTTTTGAAATTTTAAATAGTATAACTGATAAGCAACCGAAGATATTCAAAGACGATTGTTTGAAAACCACAATGGACTCCTCACAGATATTGATGTCTCAAAATTACAATTGTGACTATGTTATCTATATAAGAATAACATGAATAAGGAGACGTTTTAGGAATTCCAATGGTGCAACTATGCCCTAGAGTTCATAAACGAAGATAAAGGCAATTATAGGTCACCGTACGACCTTCAAAAATGGGAAAAACCCATACCGTTTAGTCATTTATACATGGAACTGACATGAAAAACAATCTAATGAAGAAAAGTAAAGACCTTAATTTTATAATACAAATTTAAAAAAACAAATTTGACAGACACGAACCAACGACAACCACTGAATTACTAGCTCCTGATTTGGGACAGCCATATAAATAATGTGGCGGGGTTAAACACACCTGTGAGCGCTAAACCTTCTCTCTAACCTGAAATAGTGGTGCTACAGCACAACATAAGAACAAACTGTAAATGTAAAACTCAGTTTCAAATGGCTTTACTCAATAAATCGGAACGAAGCACAAATAATCTAACTAACATAGACACAATAGAAACAAAGCACCGATATACGAGTACTCGCAGTTAATGATAGCTTGTTCAAGTCAATCACAACTATGTTTGACTGTTGTTGGAATTTCTAATTATGGTAAACAAGCAAGACAAGATTTTGTGTCGCACATTTTCCGTGCAACTCAAATATTCTTGATGCCATTGAATACACACAATTTTCTTTAACATTAAATACAAACTTTAAATCCTGGTTTTAAAAATAAATTATGTATACGTAATGTCAGTGGCTTTTATAGCCTACTATACGGTATGTTTTACTTATTATTGAAGGCCTTATGGTAACCTATGAATGATTCATCTGTTAACTTTGGCCTTTGGTGGATAGTTGTGTCAATGACAACCTTACCACATCTCTATATTTTTATACAGATCAGGTAAGCTGAAGACCAAATATTTAGAATTCTGCAAATAATATATAAAACATTGACAAGCACCTATAGCAAACGGGTCAAACTGAACATGCAATATCGTTTAAGGATTTTTTTCACTTGAGAATGCAACATTAGTCTTAGTTCAAATAAATAATCTACATGTTAAAAATTACAAATGTACATCATTTAATCCATGTCTGTACATGTACTGACACGTAGACAAATGTGTAGATGGTAAGGCACAAGAAGATTACATTTGTAGCACCAAAGACGTTTAACAACTTGCTACAAAGCATGCAACTTGTGCATTTTTCAAAGTAAACATTTATAGTTGTACATGTGCGATTGTTGCTTCATGTCATGTCTGCCATTTTTAAGGTCTAATTGTGTTGCTTAACGTCTGATATTCTTAAGGTCCAACTGTCTTACTTAATGTTTGATATTCCAAAGGTCGGATTGTGTTGCTTAAAGCCTGATATTCTTAAGATCTAAATGTGTTTAAGTCGTTAATTGGTGTTCCCATTTCTTTGTCTGAATATTTTCGGCGTGGTTACTAAATTAATTATATTGTGTGTTTTACTTTAGGAATGTTCTTCTTATATTTGCCATATTGATTTACCTTGCCGCGAAAAAAATACCACCATAAGCCATGTAACTATCTTTTTTTAAAATGACATGCTTTTCTGCCGCCTGATATCTGTATTGTATAATGATAAAGTATTTTTACGTGTAACTTTTTTTCTTTTTTGCTCTTTTACGTTTTTGAATCCAATAGTCGGGCTCTTTATTGTCAAATTCTCATTTTAGACCGCTTCCAGGGCTTTCTATTGCAACCTTTCTTTGTCAGTTGTCCATGTCAAATATGATGCTGAAAATATAACACTTTTTGTCTTTTTTTTCAAATTTTGAACTCAGGGTCTTTATCTACCTTTAAGTCTGTATATTTCGCCCTCTTTGAATGCTTTGTGCTAGTTAAGTCGATCGAGCCTTACTGTTATTCATTGTTCAACGTATTTGGAATAAAACAGGCTTGTTTACATTGTAGGTACAACGACTATCAAATAACTACTGCGAAAAGAAAGACAAAGAAACAAATCAGGCATTGAAACATTCGTCGTGTTCACCTTGCAAAATTGTTATCCTTATAACGATAATAACTATACTCTTAACTTTGCTTGGCTTTGGACTTAATTTCTTAATCCTCAGAAATATCAGTGAAGGTTTGTTTATTTTTTAATTGTACGTTCTTATTCGGAACTCAATCTTGCAGCTTAAAGATTTTTAATTACTAAAACATTTTTTGTTTTATAATTGGTTAGTAACGAGTAGCTAACAATTAATCGTTTTTAACATACTGATTCGATAAACTTATTTCAAACTCGGTACAATCTTTCATGAAAAGAAACTATTCCATTTATTTTGTTTTGTTCTACTTATATAATTCAGTAATAGTTTACTAGAGATTTCAAAGGTTACCAGTGACTTTGGAATGCGTCATTAACATTTCCAAAATTAGTACTACGTACCTAAATAAAAGGACAAGTGATTGTTTGCCAGACTGAGTGAAGAGTTTTTGCATAACTTGTTAAATGATTGAAAATAACCTTTATTAATTTTGTGCGTCCGATGCATCCTTCTGGGTCATTCTTCATCATGAACGTTCTTACCTAAAAATTTCTAATAAAAATTTAAATTCAAATAAGTATACATATGTCTGCGTATCCCATAGTATGAAGCAAGTTCTTGATTCTATTGTAAATAGGTAGTTCTGATACTCTTTGTTAGAATAATATAAATCTGAAAGTTATACTATAAAATGAAATAACTCTTTATAATTTCCAGGCTTCCGAAGCGCTTTTTCGGATTTACCTTCATCAGGAAAGCTCAGCCAAGGATGTATACGAATCGAAACTGTTGAAGAGCTATATGACCAAAAAGGACATGTATAAAAATACTAGTATCGTAACAAACTCTTAAACGTTGAACATTGAAAATTTGAAATACTTTTGAGTATTTTACCTTTCTTTTCGATTACAAATTACTGAATGAAAAGTCGGTTGAAATGAAATATTCGAACATTTACTATAACATTAAGTTGATAATAAACACATTTTACGCTTTAATTCATTCATTCTGTATTCAAGATTAACTTTCATTTGTTTTCTCTTACATCATGCTTCTGTAACATTTAAAAGTGACTCTTCAAGTAGCCACTTTACTAAAAAAAAAAGGTGATCTTCTTAAGACATAGAGGCGAATAAAAAACATTTTGGATATATTCTGTCTTCAAAAATATTTTGAAAAGATATACGAATAAAAGAAGATTTGAATCACACTGCAACGAAACAGCAACCTTCCAACAAAAAAGCCTTTACTACAAAGTTTAGCAATTCACGACGTTCAACAATATACAAAGTGTCAATTCACTATATCAGGGAGCAGAAAAAAGAACACCTACATGCCATTAATACAAACTTTTGTAAAATGCCATAAAACAAATTAAGAAAAGCGCTTTCGACGCATGAAATTTCTAAAGTGTTGATTTCATTTTCTAAGATATAAAAAAAAAGACAACCACTGACGGAGTAAATCAAATTTGTTGTAATCCGTGAATGCCATTTAAACAACATGTAAAGTCAATCGAATGGGCACCATGTTTCGAAGTCGTAATGGTTACTATATTTTTTTTTTCTCAAATTTTGGGGCATGGTATTTTCGCTATTTTAAAGATATGTATCGTTTTTGTCCATTCTATTTTATTATATTACTGTTTTCATTTTATTTACAATTCGACACGAAGAAACTTTAAAAAAGGTCGCTAGTACGGAAACCTTTTCTAGATAGTTTTACTAGAGTATCGGCAGCATATTTGAAGCTTTGGGGGCGGTGATATCGACATCAATCAAAACCATGCAAATGCCAACGACTCTATCAAGTACGTTTTTTACAACAATTGGCAGTACGAAAGCTTCAACAGATACCTTTACCAATCCGGCATCTAAGCTCATAACATCAACTGATCAGGATATATCATCTGCAAAGGGTACGTTGTAATTGTACAGCCAAACATGGTGAGATACACAAGAAAAAAAATTTGGTTGGCTTGTCTTGCAATTTAATACTGAATTATTACATTTCCTTTGGATATTTATTAGTCAATGATGACTTTCAAATATCATTATGTTTTCCTCCGTGACAACGGAGACATGTGATTTCTTCAAAAATATGTATAAAACTCCTGCAATTTTATCCTAGCAATCTTCTTTTTGTCAAATTCGATTCCATTCTGAAGCGTACGTTTAACGAATTGAGGTTTGACGCTGGATTTCGACCTATAACCATGTGATGACGTTTAACTGTTTAAGTACTAAAGATATGAACAAATATTTGGGGAATTTCATTTTTTAAACAAAGCGAATTTTTCAATAAGAGAAATAGGTTTTACAACGTTAGGAAACCTATAAGTATATTTTTCATTGCTGATAAAAAAGGACAAACCATTAATACAGACATTATAATAACATGCAACAGCTGATCAGGACCTAGGTGCAGTTTTTTCTACTGGTTTTGTCATTTTTTTAAAGCATTGTTATGTGTCAAATGATTATTCAAACTGCAGAAAACATTTAATCTTCCTGATAAAAGCTTAGCATGGGAGTTTAGACCTACCTTTTTGGGTGATTCTCTACATAAAAAAATGAAAAGTTGCAATAAATCCAATACAGCTAACCATGAATCTGTACCACGGTCAATACAAAAACAGACAATACTTGACGCTATATATTATGTGATAAACTGAATATTGCCTTACTATTTTTATATTAATACTATTTGATATAAACTTAAGTATTTATATAGCTGCCGTTGATAGACCATACACAAAGTTCCATAAGGCTTTAATTTTTACAGTACTTGTACAAATCCTTCACTCGGTTATTCAAACTAATAAATTGAATATAAGTAATAAATCACAATCGGGACAATTTTTCCTAGAGTGTTTAAATTTTCCATAGAATGTTACCGACGTTGCTGATATACTAAGAAATATTATCGTTTGTCAGACAAATATCTGTGTACTATCCTTTCAGAGAGTTACCCATCTGTAGCACCAAGTTCAACAACGCAATTCTACTGTAAGTAGCTGATTGCATAACAAGAATAGTATACAAAATAGTGTACAGAACATAAGAAGATCGTGGGAAATAGTTTTTTTTTATTTGCATTTTTTCTATGTCAGAACAAATAGTGGAGAGAAACCTAGGGGTCATTTAATTCTCATAAGTCGACGAGAAACTGACAACGAAAAGGCAGGAAAATACGAAAGACGACGAAAAGACAAACAAATCCACAAAAAGCTACATGGAAAACTAAAGACTGGGCAACAAGAACCCCACCAAAAACTTTAAATTTATGATCCTCTTTTATAATCATCAATGTGAATACATCTTCTGTATCTCAAGACTTTTTATGATTCTGTTATGATAATGTCAGAAAAGATGAAATATAAACCCACCGCTTTCATTTCTTTTGTTTAAGTACTGTTAAAATTATGGAAGAATTATGAATTGATGCCGATGAAGGCGAAGTAAAATTATTTTTTTATAGTATGTTATTTTAAATTTTTTTAAATTTTTTGACAATAACAAACACAATTTTCCCTTCTTTTGCATTAAGGTTTGCCGACTGGTAAAACAATTTTACAACTCAATCCTCACCAAAGAGCTGATCTTGAAGATAACAGAAATTCGTTGTTGCATAGTTGCGAAGTCGATGTTGGTTTTCCAGCAGGCAATCTAAGCATTGAAATTATGAAGTCAGGAGAGTTGGAGTTCAGAAAATTAAACGTAGCAACTATTAGCAAAGAGGACAGCAAGTCATCATGCGAAATTCATAGAAAAATAAATTTTGGAATAGTATTTTCAGCTGATATGGATAAGGCTATCATCAGATGCAAAGTAATTCATAACTACTTCCAAGACTCTCCGGCCTTTTATTCTAATAATGAAACAGTTTCACTTATTCCAGGTAAGTATCTCTATTGTATGCAAATTTAATAAATATAATTGAGAACACTTTAAACTAAATGATTTTCAGTGGGGAAATAATTTGGTATTAATCTAAAACAAAATGAAAATGAGGTTATTTTGCAAGATTTTACAGTTTTTTTTATGCTGATTTATTTCTCTTTTCTCTGTTTTGATGTTCAGGCGAGCTTGCACTTTTATTTCTATTGAAGTTAAACTTATTATCCACAATCTTACCAATTTGTTTACATTATACGGTTTTTTATTTGAATAATGTCATGCTGTTCGCAGACTACGTATAACTTCACTACAGTACTATATCCGTTGGAAATGTTTTTGGTTGATATTTCTTCTCTTGGAGAACATAGGTTATTTAGTAATTAAATTCGGCTTGGAATTACTTTTTAGTATCTGCGAGTCAATTTAGATTAGTTCTGAGTGTCTTTCGTCTTTTTGGTATTTGTTTGTGGTACGATTTGTCCTTTTCAACTTCTTTTTAACAGTTAGATCCTATATTCTGTTCTTACTACGCTGTCCCAAGATGGAGGAAAGATTCAGCTCTCATAATATATGAAATCTCGCCACATTTGTTATGCGCGAGCCAGTAATCTGGATGTGGTTTTTTTTTCGATCTGTCGTATTTGTTTTTTGTTCATGGTTGTAGTATAAACACAGTGCGTATTAATCAGGCCATTGAGTTTGTTCTTGAATTGTTTAACTTTTTGTCCTACAGCCCTTGGAAGGTGTAAACGTCCCAAAAAAAAACGTGTATGGTGTAATGGTGTATGGCATATGGTGCAATGGTAGAAGATGTATGGTGCTAAGGTGTATGGTGTAAGGGGAATGGTGTAATGGTGTAACGTGCGATCGGGAATGGTGTGAATGAATGGTGTACGACATTTAAAACTAAGCAAAATAAGAACTTATTTTTAATTTATACATTAATTTACAATATTGTGATCAAAATTCGTTTTTTAAAATAAATAAATAATTTTGCAATCGCACGCTTTCTTTGAAATTAAATTGCATTATGATGTAATGTGTAAGGTGTATGGTGCAAAGGTGTAACGTGTATGGTGTAATGGCACAGGGTGTATGGTGTAATGGTGTCTGGTGAATGGTGTAATGGTGTATTGTGTTAGTGGGAAGTTTACACCATCCAAGGACTGTATTAGATCAATTCATAGCTTACTATATGGGAAGGGTGTTTTTCTCTTTTTTGAAGGGCGTACGATGACCGTTAATTGGGTCAATATTCAAAGTAAGAAACTCAATTATAATAAGTATTTCCATATGACGTGCTGCGTTTACTTAGTTAACAACAGCGTGATAAATTTTCCATATATCTATACTTAGCAATGACTCAGAGATCTACATACGCATAGCTGCCACAGTTTCCTTTGTAATTTGTCGAGCGAAGCATAAAATATGTGTGGTCAGTCATTAGGAATTGTGATATACAAACTGCAACGACTTCACACTGTGAAGCTAGTCAGTTGTGTAATTTATGATCCCGTCAAATCGAAGGGCATTTTTCGGGCTGTACTCTAAAGTATTAAAGGAATAACAGTACTGTAGTTAAAGAGTTGCCGCTGTCAATTGGCGATTTGATGGTCACAGATGCAGTAATGCGATCATCAAATCCAAATTGACGGCGGCAACTCTTCAACAACAGTACTTTATTCCGATTCTAATTCACACATTCAGACATATAACCATTCTTATTTAAAGAGTGAACCTTCCTTATTTCAGAGTGAACGGAAAGCGAAGTCAATCGAAAATTTCAAACTGGAATGCTATGGATTTATTTTGCATTTCAACTCATTATGAAATACCAACCAACTAAATTTCAACTTATTAGGTCTTTTAAGAACGAAAATATTAATAGAAATTATAGCTAATGCATCACATGTCCAAATATATATGTGAGGCGTAAAACAGACACAACCTGAAGTGAAATTTCCTGTATAGGACCGATCCAAATTTTGCTTTTTGATTAATGTGTGGAAGGTAGTAAATGTCAGTATGGCAACGTCATCAGTATTGCGCATGCTAGCTATATAATCTTTTTTCACAATTCTTTAGAAGCGATGCAAAATTACTTTATATGCGTATTACATACGTATTTGATAATTTATTGTGCATTTGTAATGGAAAACCCGACTCTTTAACAATTCGAGTTGTCTTTCTTTGATTACGAAAAAATAATCCATCACGTAATGTTTATTAAGTAGGTAGTTAAGAATTTGCTATTTAATTTCACCATTTGATATAATAATAATGTTGTTTATTCATTTTTAAGACAGTAAATTTCTTTCAGGTGATATATGTAGGGATAACACTGTCTCCGAAAGCAATCGTGCACATCCGACAAACTGTCATCATTATATTAGATGCCAGAATAAAATTCCTTATGATCAGGCATGTCAGTACAACTATTGTTTTGGAATATATACACTAGAAACATGCAGTCCTTGCAGTGACGTTACATGTCGAGCAACAAGTAAGAAAATCCAACTAAACAAAATCAAATTTGAAGTATGTCTGTGATGCATGCCACTTTCTTTTTAAATTACTTTAAAATTGTTTCGCTTTGAGCATTTGTCAAAAGGCGCATCTGGTGCAGTAAAATTCATACTTGTAATGTCATTAGCCTACATAAAGATAAGGGGATGTATTATGATTGATAATGAGATAACTTTCCACATTGCAGAGACTAAATGACGTAGTTGTTAGCGACTATAGTTCATCGTTTGGCCTTCAACAATGAGCAAATATTAATATCGCCTTATACACCGATTAAAAGCACCCACATGATAAAATGTAAAACAATCAGAACGGCCTCATTTATGCAAGCACACATAACATTAACTTAATATGGCATACATCAACCAATGTCAACCAACCATTGAGTTACAGGCTTCTGAATTGGAACAAGAATGCTACGGGGTAAAACATGTTTGCAAGCGCTCAACCCTGCCCTTATCTATGTCAGTAATGTTACAGCACAACATAAGTACAAATACTTAAAATCATTTTGAAAGGGCTTGAATAATCAGATCGACAAAAAAGCTAACAAAACACTAAAGACACACAGTACCAATCTAAGAATTATCACAGTAACCGAAAGCTAGTTATGTTCCTTAATTTATAAATCTGTGTCATTCAATGAGTGGTCTTGTTAAATTCTCAATGTAAAAACCACCCTACAAAAAAAAATGCATCTGAAATCTTTGGCAGATGAATGAAAAGTCTCGAATGTATCCTGCATTTAGGAATAACATTTATGTATTTGAAGAGTTGCCACCATCAATTTGGGATTTGACGGTCGCAAATGCACTTTTACTGGCGACACGGAGCGATGGCAACTCTTCAAATACAGAACTGTTATTCATATTCTAATGCAATACTCTAAACATGTCCAAGATTTAACGTTGTTGGCAATGACTCAGACCATCAACTGTGGAATTAATGGCAGACGTCATCCAATCAAAATTGTCTTTAAATGCCAAATCGCATTAGAATTTGAATGTCTGCTTATATATTGAAATGTAAAAATGAAAGAAACTATTGCAATTCATTTTATTTCACTTCCTAAAATACAAATTAGACCATAAATATCTAGTTATTTGATTATATGGTATATATTATAACAATATAATTGAAAAAAAAACCATTTTTATTAATGTTTCGATGTAAAAAATCAAGAGAACATTATTCATGCATAATTTTTGATAATTTCTTTTACTTTTAAAGGTATCTCCTGTACAAATACGACAATCGTTCAGCAGGTAATATGCAAATTAAAAAAGATAGAACCTAACTGTTAGAAAAGTTACCATATGTCCAAAGTACACACTTTTTAAACTGGTTATCAATAGTAAATGGTTTGTAGCTCGCTTCAAACTGACGCATATCAGCAGATATTTATTGAACATAACTTTGATAATTTATATCATATAGTCCCGTTCAGAAACGAAAAATGAATATGCAAAGTGTTTGTTAGTTATGGTTTCCCGAGATAGTATCCTTCAGTTTCTTTAGAAAAAATCCAATTGCTTTTATTCAAGATAATTTAAAAAAACCGTGTGTATTAGCATTGGAGTTTAAACAAAAGCAGAAAGCAGTTTTCATATATACCATAGATGTTCACATGTAAAAAAGGCTCTCCAAAAGGAACACTACCAATTTCTCTTGCATTTGTTACCCTCAAAATATTAAATTCTTAAAGATGTGAAAACCAGCCTACTAGAAATTGAATATTATAAAGTGTTTATTAAGTTTGCCAATGTTCAAATCTCGTTTAGTGATTAGGAAGAGACAAGGAAAAACTGAGACAATCTTAATACCTCGAATAAGGAGCGAGATGGTGTGCGTCTACAAGACAGCGTTTACAGCTATGCATCCATCACTCGCCATGCGAATTTACGCTGTATCAAATTGTCACAATCAGTAAAATTACAAATCAGACCTTACTGGTCTATCTATATAATATATCTATATATATATAAATAAATACATTTTTGTATCATATACTTGAAATATTGTTTCACAATTTTACATAAATCAATTAAATCAAAGTCACGTTGCTGTTGAATTCATTTTGACAAGTTTACATGTATTTGTCAAATTTTGCATCTACGGACATCGTTAGAAAAATAAATTAATTGGTATCTGAAAGACAATACATAGCTTTACTTCCAACATAATTAAGGTTTTAGTTAAAAGTGTTTTTTTATGTATTGCAGATGTATTTTGGGATAATTTGCGGGATTTTTTGCTTTTTTTAGGCGTTTATAATTTGATGACCTGTTTGGAAATAATGCAATATATTTTTAGAACCTTAAAGTACAATCATTTTGCTGTGAGTTCAAGTAAATATTAAAAGACATTTTGAAAACGGCCTTGGTGTGAAATACATTCAGGGAACGAATCGAAATACTCCTTTACTCTTCTACAATGGACATTTATTGTATCATTCATCTTCATTATCAATCATTGCTTCGCTACGTTGATAGTTTAGAAAAGTAATGTCACCGCTGTTTCGGAGATTGCATTATCATTTGTGTTTATAGTACTGCAATTTATAACTTATCGTGGTGGATTGTGATAAAATAGTATTTAATTCTTTTTAAACGTTGGTCTATATTAACAGCGATGAAGAAAGAATGTTGTAAAAAAAATTTCAAAGTTCTTGCACATCAATTTATTAATTACTTTTACAGCAGAGCAAAGTTAATATGACATTACACTCTGACCAAATTGCTGGTCTAACTTCCCCAAGAGCTGCACACCTCCATACTTGCACTGGTTTCATTGGCAATCTAACGGGCGAAATAAGTGTTGAAATACAATTGGAAGGAAACGATAATTATCAAACAATAAGTCCAAGTTATACGACCGAAACAGATACAACAGAAAACTGTGGAATAACAAGAGTCTTCAAGTTTTGGATTGGGTTTACTGTGGCTATGTACAATGCAAACATCAGATGTAAAGTAACAAATGGCCTTTATCCAGATGTTTCGCCAAAATATTCTAGCAGTGAAACTCTTTACCTTGTTTCAAGTAAGTAGAAATTAATAGAGAATAAGTTGTATTTCGTATGAAATGAAAATAAAACAAGCAAGGAAGACAATTTTGGTGAACCATGAAGACCTGACAAAATCTTTTGGATGGATACCAGCAATAATAACGCTGTTCCATTACTTGTTTTTGTAAAGGGAGTGTACGGAATTAGTTTCATTAATTAAGACAACATAATTCTTATACGATCTGCATAATTAGGAATCCTTATTGTCATTGGTGCTAAGGTTTGGTTTTTACATTTTTGTATAGTTTATGTTCACTCGATTACTCGCATATATAAGCAAGATGGAGACTTGATTTTATGTTACACACATACAACTTGGAAGCATTATTAACAGTCATAGGTTTTATGAATAAAAACGACAATATAAGAAATATTGATTTATTTGTGAGTACATTGACCTAGTTTGCACATGTATCAGCTCAGAGGGAAATGCATGCCATTGCATTTCTTTCATTATATATTTCCATTTATTAAAACGACAACTAAAAACAATGCAGAAACTTATACTGGGATAAACAAAGGATCATACTTTTTGTTTTTAATGTTCCCTCATATTGCCAGAAAAGAAGTTAACAAAATCATGTCATTTTTAAACTTATATTTGTTTATAAAAGACAAAATTTTATCAAAATGGCTTTAAAAGTATGAGACACATAAAACGATCACTTTTATTTCAAACTAGTTATCGGTGTGTTAATAGCATTTCTATTTTGTTGTAGACAATGTCTTTTTATATTCAAATTGATGATATTTTCGGGAATGGGTGGTAGGAGGACTTTGGAAATGAATGTCCTGGCCTTGTAAGATGTGTCTGTCTGTGTAGTGGTTTTTGATCTGTTACATTTGTTGTTCCTCTTTCCTTTTGACCTAATTTGGTCCATTTCCAAATTATAGTATTTTATTGTACTTTTTGGATCTTTCACTGCTATTACATGTATATGTATATCGAATTTTTACTGGTAATACTTTCAAATTGTATAAATCGCACAGAGTGTCTATCTACTTTTCAATTGATATTAGTCTCCTGGTGATCTTGTGATATTTTAAAACTATAATTGCAGGTGAATTTTGTAATCAGAATTTTGAAGGAACCATAACTAATAAACATCATCATCCAACAACCTGTCATAGATATGTTACATGTGAAGATAAAGGACCCTCCGTGCAAGCATGTCCAAGCAGTCTTTGCTTTAGTTTAGAAAAAGATTATTGTGATTTTTGCGCTCAAGTAAAAACATGTCTATAACAAAACCAATACCTTGAAACTTGTTTGATTTTTCTCTGTTGTATTCATATAAACAAGTTTCAATTGATGCTCTTGATTATTGTTGATCAACTTCGAACCATTGCAGTACAAAACTATCAACCCCAGTATAAATACATTAAAGTGGCACTAGCTGTCAAATTCATGTTCACCGATTAGATTCAAATTCTCATATTTGATTTATAACCATGTTAAATATTTATCCAAATTATAAAATGTCTAAAATAAAGTATTAACAGGGCATAGGCTCGATAATATGTAGCTTCGTTTCGTGTGTATTTTAGTCTTGACGCCGTCTAATTAAATATCGAGTTGACCTCCGAATACCTCCAATGGTCATATAAGCGATATAAACATAAATATAGATATAAATAGAAAGTGAACTCGTGTAATTGGATTTTTCTAGGTCTGTTTAATTTCATATTATAGATTAAAAATATGTGTTAATCATCGTTTTTACCTGTATAAAAATGATTTTTGGTGGATCGAATCAGTAAATCAAACGATTTACCTTTGTTTCACTTTCAATTTTGACATTCTTTACCTCAAAATAACTTAACACGCACAATGCATGCGTTAGCCTTCTCTAGCTAAGGAGTTAAATTGAATTTCACATGAATACGGATTCAATGAGGTCGAATTATTTACTTGCAAGTGAATAATTCACCATCAATGTTTCTTAGCTTATTTTGACAAAATTGAACCATACTGGCTGCTAAAAGCGAATTATTATTTCACTATTTCACTTTCATTATTGATTGAACAAAAAATATCATACTTTAGATTTTTTATATATCTCGTAGCTAGTGCCCCTTTAACATAGGTAACTATTATATTCAAAAATTTACACATACAAACTATAGTCTGCAATTAAAGTGCTAATTAATGCAGATTAAATGTAGTTAATTAAAAATATGTTTTCACTATACTTAGCTACAAAATACATTTTGTTTATTTGTTTTATAATATAATGCTCACACTTGTGTCTGTACTTATGCAGTATCTTAACAAGTTGCGATGTTTTGGGTTTTTTTTCTAATCTACATAAGCCAATGTTTACACATGCTAGTAAACTTTGCTTTAATTGTGACGTTACCAATGACAAACAAATACATATATTTCGGAGGACATGAAATGACACTGTCTCAACGAAAAAATTAGTTGCTTATGATAACATCTTCCTCAAGTGCTTGTGTTGTCAAAGTATAATTTCAGACTGCAAGATATAGAAACTTAAAAAATGAAAAGGCGATTATATATTAGAGAAATAGATGATTGGCCCATCCCTGAAATTTGTCGATTACTTGACCTATCGTCTTAATAAAATATGAGTTTACTGTACTGTATAAATTGTTTGACGAGCTAAAAAGGGTTTTTAGGCTGTTCTTACTTTCTGTTAAGATCTTTATTATATTATTGTCATTATTGTCATATAGACAACTGCTGATGATAATTATTGAGTGCATATCTTAGAGAAATAGCTATGATGTCAGCAAATATTAAGTTTCGTTTAACAATAAACATATTCCTTACTGCGTCATCTAGTTGTTAACAACTGCCATAAATAGTACAACTATTCTATGTAGGTTTATGCATGTGTGTTAATCGTCAAATGAACTAGGTGATTGACCTGACGAAATTGCGTTGTCTTTTTTGTTGGAGTTATATAAACTTGTAAAATTACATTTATTTTGAGAATATCTGTTTTCCCCTTTAATTTATGTTTTTTTATTTATTTATAAACCCTACGCGTATAACTTTCCGTTGGTAAGTGTAACTCGGGCGGTGATATTTGAGGGAAAGGACGGTTTTGAGTTGTAAACAATATCATACATAGCCAATTATTTTCAGGTTTTTGATAAATGTTTGTAATCTGTGCTGTATCATATTTTATCTGTACTATGGCAATAAAAATCAGAAATCAATAAATCAATAAAATCTGTTATTAAAGAACACCTACAGCAATTAATCTGTAACATTAGAAGAAGGGCTACATGTAGGACATACTTCGACAAAACACTTATTGTGTAAAAGAAGTCGGGAACCTTCCTTGAACACTGTGATATCAGCACTATCTGTATGTTTTGTAATATTATAGAATTTACTGAGAATTGTAAATTTCTTTAGATAAAAACAACAGATTTAAACGAAACGTATACACACAAAGAAGAACGAAGAATCATCTAAAAATGCGTTCACCTTGAGGACACAAAAATAAAATATACATATTGATGCTATGGACAAGTGATAATTTTCTACAAGTCAAGAGTTTAAGTACAAGTTATCAGTATTTTGACGTACATTTTCTTTTACCATACGATCATAGAATATAAAAACGTAAGCGAGATATTGTTTCCAGAAACTAATAAGATATAAGCTCACAACTATAGGTTACTATGCGGCCTTTAACAATGAGCAAAATTCATACAGCATATCAAGATATTAAACATTATTAAAGTCTTGTCAAGATAAATGTAAACCAATTTAAGCGACAAAACTGCCTCATTTATGTTCAAACAATAATGTTTTACTGCGTGTAAGGTTGTGCTCCAGATGAATCTTCTTGTTTTGACTGACTCAGATGTTTACCAACCATTTCAGCTGCAAATACCAATTTTCAAGTCTTGCCAGGGATCAAACTCACTACCTTCTTAACTGAAAACGAGCTCACTAGACCATAGAGACGATTAATGATGATTACAGTTTACATTCTTATATTTAAATTAAAAGAAAAAAAAAAATTACCATTCACATTTTCCAACTGTTTGTTTAGCATACGATTTATTAGCAGGTAAAGACAAGATTTAAACCCTTTTGAGTTGGAAGTACATTGAATCAAACCCAACAACTTAAGACAGTCTTCCCTAGAAATACATTACCTTACCTTTATTTGGCAAATCCTTTCGACATGTTGTGTTCTCAATGTTCCTCAACCTGGTACTTTTTTTTATCTTTTAAACTTTTTTATTCTAGTCTTTTGTAGACGAAACGCACATCTTGCATAAATACATTATCTGGTATTTGTGATGTGTTTATTGTTAGACTAGGTGTCCCATAGAAATAAGAAGATGTGGTATGAGTGCCAATGAGACAACTCTCCACCCAAGTCACAATGTGTGAAAAGAAAACAATAATTTGTCATATTTGGCATAGTGCGGTCTTCAACATGGAGCCTTGGCTAGAGCAAGCTATAAAGAGCCCCTAAATGACAAGTGTAATACAATTCAAACAGGAAAACCAACGGACTTATCTATATAAAAAAAACGAGAAACACTTATGAACCACATCAACAACCGACAACCACTGAACAGGCTCAATACTTAGGACAGGTGCATACAAATGCAGTGGATGTAAACGTTTTAACAGGCGCCAACCCTCACCCTTACCTGAAACAGTAGTGTAACATTAAAACATAAATTTAAAGGACACACTTTAAAATATCCATGCAAATGGCTGAACTCGATCAAAAAGACGTATCGACAAAAACTAGTTAACATACGCTGAACGAATAAATTTGATCTTCATGTATGACACAAAATAAATACAATATTAATGAAAAAGATTTCAAACAAAGTAAAAAGACAACTCTAACCTGGGACAAAATGGCGTTTAACTAATAACGTACACAGGAAAATTTGAATATAATAACTTTGTTGTTACATGTAGGAGTACGGATATATGTTTTTATATTCTACAAAATAAATAAATTTGTTGTTCATAGTACGAGAACAGAAGTGAAAATTTGTCGTTATAACAAATTCTTATCAAAGGTGGTACAAATTAAAAATAGTGCGACGAGATATAACACAAAATAAGTAAACATTGAATAACAAAAATACATTACAAATTTTGTCAACAGGTCGAATTAACATAAAAGTACGATTTGCGAGTGCTCGTAGTTACTAAAAGCTATTTAAAAGCCAAAAACTATTGAAATAGCAGTAGGATAGTTAGGATTTAACCTTATAATAAATATGAATCATGTTATATTTAGAGAGAGCAATCTCTACATAGAAAATAAACGTGGATGTGTATTTTTTTTTATCCCAAAAAATTATTCGAAAAGAATACATATTTAGTTATGTTTTAATTTGCTGAATACAAAATCGGTATTTGTGCCAATGTAAACAAAATATACAAAGATCTTATCACAACATTAATAAGGTAGCCTTAACTAATAAGTTTGTTTGATTAACTTTATACCGCTATCTTGATTCCAAAAAAACAATTCATAAAAGGTTTAGTTCTCTGCATAAATCTGCAATTGTGAGACAAATTGGCAATAAATGGGTTATATAAAATTCAGAAGATGTAGTATGATTGCCAATAAGAAACTCTCCACGAGAGACCAAATGACACAGACATTAACAACAGTCTGTTTATTTCAATAAAGAAAAATAAGTGATTGATTCATTGCATTATTCAGACTGATTTATCAAATACCAACTATTTGTGTTTATTCGAATCAAATTGTCAACTAAGTCATTTAAGGGAAGATAACTCAAACAGTATTATTTTTTTATTATAGAATGACAGAGACATTTTCAATAGAAAGAAAAGAAGATTGGTGACACCATGTTTTTTATTTTATTTTCTTAAAGCATATTTTAAAACCAATTCAAATATTCTATTTTAAAATTCTAACATAGATTTTTTTTCATTGGCAAATATAATGTTTTTTCATGAACAATATGGGCAATGTTGCACGACTTGTAGCTTATAAAAAAGCACGGTTATCCATACGTTTTTATATTCTTGACAAACGCATAAACAAAACACATTTCGGCAAAGTTTAAGAAAGTTCTATCTGATGAAATATATACCAATGATCAACCTTAATGCTTTCCGCCAACATTGTTAACGTTAGTCGTCATGATGTTTCCCAATTACGACCCAGATATACTCCGACAAACGTAAATTTTTCCATCATTTTAATGTTCGGATATCGATTAAATCTCTGAGATAGACCTTATTTGCAATGTTTACTCAAAAAATCCACCGCTTTTAGGCTGTGTGTATTTCTTTCAGCGGTAAATACTGGTACTTTTCCACTAATGAGATATTTTTTAAGAAAAAAAAACGTTTAAAAAAACAAATACTTTAGCAAAAATGCACGTTAAAGTGCGAGTAAAATATTTCATCGTGTTAGAGCACTTTAGTATACTAGCTACTGCAGCATATCAATTACACTTGATCGGGAACATACCATATTTTTGAATAGCGTTACCATTTAATTATAACGTGTTGACGTAAGAATAAATCATGTCATTGGGTTATCTATTTTGAATTGTTTGCAAACTTGTCATGCTCAAGTAGACCATGTTTGGCTTGCTTTGCAATTTGACTGTTTCTCTTTGTGGTAGACCGTACGATGACCTGCAACTGGTCACGTCTTTCGTATGTTGGTCATTGTAGTTAACTGCCTCATTGGCCATTATATGTCATATCCTAAATGTCCAATCGCAACATTGTTAAGTTTCTGAAATAAACCTTACTATACTGTATGTACTATTAATTACAAAAAAAATCTGATATCGTCTTTGTCAGATTTATAAGTATGTTTGTTTAGTTGTTTTAAGTCAGTTGTGTTCTTCTTCTTCGTCCAGTAAGCGGCCACCGTCAACTGGTTGACTATCCTGCCACATTTTTGGAGTGCGCGCATTAAAACAATTTTGAATTGAATAACAAAAACAAAAACTGGGTGAAATGTATATACAGGTGCAAATAAAAACATGTCATTTAATTTACTGACGCAGCTGAGCCTTGAAAAATTCAGGGCTCGGGGCAGAGACCTTACAGTTGGACAAGGTGTTCCACTCTCTGATTGTTCTAATATAGAATGACTGCTTCCAAACTGTTGTTTTGCATGATGTTATTCTGAATGTTTTTTTTTTTTTGTAGTTATTTCTGGAAGGACGTTCATTTGGTATCAGCTTATTTGATGTATCGATCTTGAAATAGTTGTTATTAGGCTTATAAATCATTAACAGTCGGCTCTCTTTTCTTCGTTCTTGTAGGGTAGTCCATTCTACATGTTCAAGCATGTTACTAACAGATGAAGTGTTGTGATATCTGTTAGTAACATACCTTGCTGCCCTTCTTTGAACCATTTCCATCTATAAATATCGTTTTGTTGGTACGGGTCCCATACTGCACTGGCATATTCAAATGTTGGTCTGACAAGGGACAAATATGCTTTTTCCTTTTTATAAAGTCTGTTGCAAGTCTGTGATGTAATTTTGCACATTTTGGCAGTATGATCACAATTCAAAATTACTGTCACGTTAACCAGTTATGTGTGTTTTGGTTGCTAACCTCGTTTTGTCAATATATCGAAACCATAAACAACTGTTATAGAAGTGTCAGGTTTAGCTAGATATAAAACCAGGTTTCACCTATCACGTTCTTATGGAAATGTCCATACCATGTCAGAAATCGTTAATGTTTTCCTTTCGATCCATCGATTAATTTAATAGAGTGTTTGATTTTGTCAGGTTTTAAGGACTTCCCCCTTTTTAATTTACTTTGGAGGTAGATCTTTTTATTAATATTTTTATCATGTCTCCTTCCAACTTACAAAACATATATAAATAATGGTTAATAGAGAGTGTTGCGGTATACAATTAAACATTTTTGCAACAACGTATCTATACGTGTACTACTATAAAGAAACCATGACAAGGAATATAAATAGGTAG